TAAGGCTCATCTTAGGCTCAAATTCAAAAGTGACATAAGCCCGATTGACGCTTTTTGTTTTTTAGGGGTAAAAAGTGAAAAAAATTGAAAAAATTAAGTTTTAAGCATTTTTTTGATAAAAATCTTGTTCAAGCACAAAGATTAAATAATGTTCCATGTTCTCGAACATGTTTCATGATATGTTTGATCTTTTCGACCCTTTATTTAACCACCCTTAAAAACTACCCCTATGCAAAAAATAATGATAGAAAATTACTTTTTAAAGATTTGTAATGATTAAATCGTGCAATTATTTAAAATAAAAGTTACCTTATAGCTAATAAAAGAATTTTTCCATTTCAACCCCTAAAAACCACCCCTGTACTGACAAAAATGATAAAAAATTACTTTTTAAAAGCTTGGAATGCTTTAACGGTGCAATTATTTAAAATAGAAATTCCCTCATTGCTTATGAAAGAATTTGTATTTTACAACACTTTCAACCCTTATAAATCACCCCTGTGCTAAAAAAATGATAAAGAAATACGTTTTAAATCTTGGAATGCTACAATTGTGCAATAATTTAAAATAAAAACTCCTTTATATTGTTTATGAAAGAATATTTTACTTTTGCCATTTTCAACTCTTATAAACTACCCTTTTACCAATATTAATGTAAAATATTTTTATCATAATCGATTTTTAAATATAATCAATCATAAAAAAATTTGCTACGCTGCATATAAATAATCACACTATTTTTTTTTACTTATTTTATTTCTATAATATTTAAATTTAAATATAAAAATGTTTCACTGATATAATAATTCACTAAAGTTCACAATCTTTAGAATTAATGTCTAAAAACTCTTCTTCTTCTTCAATTGGTGGACAGTTCTGGCAGTTATCTCCACAGCTATCCTACAAAAAGGCATTTTAAAGATAATTTCAAGAACTGTAAGATCGTTTGCATAAAAAACTTTTTAAGTCCTTCGTTTTTTAAAGGGAAAGGATCGAAAATGGATACTTCAAGCGGCGATATCTCCTTTATTTTTTATGCTATAGGAATAAAAAATAAGCAAAATATTTGTTAAAAAAAAGCTACATTTTTGTTGTCTATCATTTTTTACGTATCTTTTATAATTTCAGAGTTATTTATATAAATAAGGCAATTTTTTTTGAATAATGAAAAATACGTTTTCAACTTTTATCGTACATTATTACAAAAATACGCATTTTAAACCGGTCTAACTTCAGGATCGTATGAAAAACACTAAAACAAAACTAATTATAAAGGGTCTACGATTAATTTTAATTCTGATCCAAATGGTACAGCGTTTACTGCTCATTTTTTCTTAAAAAATATGAGCAACCCATCTGTTTTTGACGATAACTCCTTCAATTTTGCTCTAATTAACTTTTATAAGTGCTCATTTTGAAGGTCACTCCTGGAGTGTTATACACGTAAAATTCGAGTATTCCCCCCAAATCAAGTCCCCTTCCATTAACCATATTTCGCTTTGTACCTATAGGACGTACAANAAAAATTACGTTTTAAATCTTGGAATGCTATAATTGTGCAATAATTTAAAATAAAAATTCCCTTATATTGTTTATGAAAGAATATTTTACTTTTGCCATCTTCAAATCTTATAAACTACCCTTTTACCAATATTAATGTAAAATATTTTTATTATAATCAAAAAAAATATATAAATAATCACACTAAATTTTTTTAGTTATTTTATATAATTTATAAAAATGAGAAAGCCTATTTTGCTCCGAAAAAATTGTTTTTTTTTACCATAACTCGGTTAATTTTGAAGCTATATTATCCTACAAAAGGCATTTTAAAGATCAAGAGCTGTAAGATCCTTTGCATATAAAACCTTTTAAGTCCTTCGTTTTTTTAAGGGATCGAAGGGCTCGAGACAGGTCGTTTTTTCACTAAAATGGATACTTCAAGCGGCGATATCTCCTTTATTTTTTATGGTATAGGAATAAAAAAAAAGCAAAATATTTGTTGAAAAAATGCTACATTTTTGTTGTCTATCATTTTTTACGTATCTTTCATAGTTTCAGAGTTATTATACAAGGTGTTTCTAAAATAGAGTTCCAAACTTCTGCTGCGTTTATAACTCATTAAAATAAGCCAAAAAGTTGCTATTAACATGTGCCCTAAAACGCACCCTTAGGAAGTTATATGCCCTTAAAAGGGCTCAAACAAAACTGCTTTTTTTCTGTTATTGACAAAACGGTCGCAAATAAGTAGAAAAAAATATATGGGTCTTACATAACTTTTTACGTTAAATAACATGGGCTGCTCCGTTTTCCGACATGCAAATCATATGCGTCCCATTTAGGTTGGTGAAGGGGGTTTCCGGCCTGTAATTTTTTTTATTTCAATTTTTTTACAATTTTCTCTACAGATTTATAAAATCTTAACAATTTTACGTAAAAAATATAATCGTTGTCCAAATCGATATTTCCAATGGTTTTCGAGTAAATCGAGTTTGAAAATTACTCTGCTCTTTAAGTTATTAGGCCAAAAATTACAAAAATCTTTTTACCATGGCAAATAAAAGACTGACGTTGCCACATCGCTTAACAATTTAAGTTATTGATAAACTGTCAATTGAGCTAAGCAGTGTTTAATTAGTAAAAGTGGTGAGTGGAAAATTTAAGTATTGAAATAAACCAGTTTTGTTTGAGCCCTTTTAAGGGCATATAACTTCCTAAGGGTGCGTTTTAGGACACATATTAATGGGAACTTTTTGGCTTATTTTAATGACTTATAAACGCAGCAGAAGTTTGGAACCCTATTTTAGAAACACCCTGTATAAATAAGGCAATTTTTTTTTGAATAATGAAAAATACGTTTTCAACTTTTACCGTACATTATTAAAAAAATACGTATTCTAAACCGGTCTAACTTCAGGATCGTATGAAAAACACTAAAACAAAACTAATTGTAAAGAGTCTTTGATTAATTTTAATTATGATGGAAATGGTACAGCATTTACTGCTCATTTTTCCTTTAAAAATATGAGCAACCCATCTGTTTTTGACAATAACTCCTTCAATTTTGCTCTAATTAACTTTTATAAGTCATTTTGTAGGTCTTTTTGAGTACTACAAAAAACTCCAGAAGTGTTATACACGTAAAATTCGAGTATTCCCCCCAAATCAAGTCCCCTTCCATTAACCATATTTCGCTTTGTACCTATAGGACGTACAACACGATTTCCTTTGTTTATTTATAAGCTACATTTTTGTTCATTACATTTTTTTTAATAAAATGCGTAGTTTTTAAATTATTCGCGAAAAATTCTTTGAAAAAGTGTTTTTTTTTCACTCGAAATTCCAAATTTTCAATCGTGAATAACTAAAAAACTATTGATTTCTCGAAAAAATTCTTCGAATATTTTTTGCTCAAAATTTGATTCTCTATCGATTTAAAAAAAATTCCACTCCCGAGAAGCTGTGTCAATCCCCAACAGGGTGGAAGTTTTCGTCACACTAGATGGGCGTATTTTTCTAAATAGGATTGTATACATTTTTTTAATGTTTTGATTTTTTATTTATTTTCTTTACAACCATATAAAATTTGTATACCTTTGCATAACGAAATTTTTGAGAAAGACAGAAAACTTTCAGCCTTTGACTTTAGTTTACGGTGCTCGTTTTCTAAATCATATCAAATAGAAGGCGCTGGAGAAACAATTCTGCATACTGCTGTCTGTCACATATCGGTTTGTTTGTAATTGTTGTCACCTTGCAAGTTTAACTTATAACAAAATGAATGATTTTAATGAAGAAGTTGATGTGCAATTATATCGACAACGTTATCATAATAGAATTTCCCCTAGCAGAACAAAGTTTAGTAAACTTGAAGCAATTCTAAAACAGTATGGAACGCTAAAGAAGAAAAGAGTTTCTTTAGGATATGCTTGTAATGAAAATCGAGAATTAGATTTACTATCGGACACTGTAAAAGATAAAAACAAGTTTTTTAGACTATTCTTTTGTTATCTTGAAATGATGTTCATTGACCGGCTTTAATTGTTTCTGCTTTGAAGATATTTAAAAGATGATATTACAAATTTTTTATTTCTCGAATTTCTGAGATCTGTAAGGACATTACAATTAGGCCAATAAATAGAGGTTTTGTTTGTGACAAAAATACTAGTAGCAAACGGATTGTGCCGATGCCATCATTTAAAAGACAGACAATTTACCATTAATTAATTTGTTATAAACATTTTTATGCAAAAAACGTATTTTTTTTAGTTTTTTGCTTATAAAACCTAAACTAACGAGGCAATCTGAATACTATAACGAGAAAATTTGTAGAGTATCGAAATACGAATAAAACGAAAGGTCGATGGATCCGATCGGATAATTAGAAACGAAGAAACATCCGGAAAAATCGGAAAATTTAACGTTTTTTTTTTAATTTTTAAGGTTCTTTAAAGTTTTTTAGATTACTCCGCCATTCTTTTAAGTTTTTCTTAAAAATTAATTTAAAGAAACTGCTAAATTTTTCGATTTTTCCGGGTTTTCTTCGTTTCTATCGACCTCTCGTCGTTTTATTCGTATTTCGATTCTCTACAAATTTTCCCTTTGTAGCATTCAGATTGCTTCGTTGATTTAGGTTTTTTAAGCAAAACTCTAAAAAAAAAATATATTTCAATATAAATGTTTATATAAAATTAATTAATGGTAAATTGGAGTAGGAAACATATAAGAATGTATCTACAGACTGTCTTTTTTATGACCGCACAGTCCGTTTGCTACTAGTATGCGCGCTCAGATTTTTATTTCAACTTTTGGGAACTTACAAATAAAATACGTCCTAATCCAAATAATTCTATTTGTGGAAAAAATAGGATAAGATAGGGAACATAGATTACTCGTGTATATCCTTTGTAATTCTTCCCAGAAGATATCAATGGGACTGAGTTCTGGTGGGTGTACCGGTCGGGCGAAATAAAAAAAAACGTTTTCATAGACAACTGTGATTTACTTTTGTAGTACTTTTCCCAACAGACCTAAATTATATGTAGTAGTAGTGTCACAGCGTCGCCTGACTGTATATTCTAGACCTAGACCCTTTCCAGACGCCGATATATCCTGTTCTTAGTGGTAAGGACGAATGTTTCTGGGTCCCTGCCCAGAGGTGTGACGGTTTGTGGACTCAAGGTAACCCTGTAGTTACTGAGCACAGTTATCAAGGCGATTTTCGTCTGTAGGAGTCCGAATCGCAACCCTAAAATGAAATAAAGTGAGACTTTAAAATTTGCGAACAAATTTTATTCACACATATTTCTGTACCTATAAGACGCGGTACATACATCTCGATTATAAAAGATAGTCGGATGTTTCAAAATGGGATTTTGTAAAATTTTCAAATTGCACACAAAAAAATCTGTAGCAAAACTGAACCTTAATTGAACGGTTGAGATTAAATAAACATTTTTTGATAAGTTTGTAGTTGCACTAATGAAATGTTGTTATTTATAATGTAAAATATTACCGATTCTCTTGGTTTCTATTGCTGTATATAATACATATCACATCCACTTATATACCTCTACAGCCTCTACATAATTTACCTTACCTATACAGTTTCGAGGACCATCTCCAAACGGAAGGTAAGTCAACAGTTGTCTGTTTTGCTTGTTCTCTTCGCTGAACCGATCCGGATCCCATCGATCTGGATCGGGCCAGTATTCGGGGTCGTGGTGCAACGCTGTGACGGGTATCATTATGGGAATTCCTTTTTCCACCTTTATATCGAAATTTTTGAATATATAGTCCTTCGTGCACACCCTGGTAAGAGTTTGGACGGGCGGCCATATTCGTAAGGTTTCTGAAATTTCCCACAAACTTTTATTAACGTCTTTGCCTCACATTGCTTTTGAAAATCTAAAATAAGGTGGAAAAAATGGCCAGCGTTCGATGTTTACCTAACACTTTTAGACTTTTTGAAATTTTTGCATGATTATTAAATTTTTCGTATTATTGATTTTCTTCATCCAAATCAACTTCAAAATATCATATTTGATTTTTAATTTAAATCACAATTTTGGTATGAAATTTTCTTACAGTATACTTATAGACCAAGCAAATTAAATTTTTACTCGAAAAAAGTCATATCCGCGAGATTATTGTAAAATTGTCTAAAGGAACATAATACAAGACATCTCTCATCTCGTGAGTCAAAAACTTTTATTAGCTAACTTTTCTATTTAAACAAATAAGTGAGGAAAACAGTTTTTTCACTTTGCAGGGAAAACCATCAATTTTAGCGAAAAGTGACTCACAGACAGCTTATAGGGAGTAAAATTATCTACAAAATGAGACTGGTTAAATTAAAATCGGTTAATAAACAAAAAAGTTATTGCAAAAAAACAAGAAAAGTGCCCATTTTTTAATTTGTTTATAACTATCGCATTTATTGTTAAAATTTTATAAAACCTATGACAAGTTGAGGGTTTTGTCATACTTTAAAAGTGTGCCAAAAGTGGGCGCTGTAGGTGCAATAGTTTTCGCACAATTCTATTTGTTTATAGCGGAGGCTCCAAAAGTTATGAACTTTAAGCCTCTGTACAGGCGTTAATTTTCAATCAAACATGATTCTGAAAGCGTCATTGTAATCTTAAAGACGCAATTAAGCGACCTATTAAAAAATATCACCGTTTTTTTGACATTAACATTCTCAAATTGTGCATTAAAAAACCGTGCGTTTTTCGCTTATAAACAATTTGAATAACATTGTTGCTATTTATGCTATCTCACCGAAAATAGGTGCAATGGATAGCTGGAAAAAAAATACAGTTTTAAAATAAAAAAAGTGCCCTCTACGACCAACAGGAGCCAAGATAAGAATCTTTTTTTAAAAAATCGTAGCGCAATTGTTTATAAATATTAAGACTTGAATTTTTCGCAAAATAAAGTTTACGACGTAAACTACGATTTCCCGTGAATTGCATTGAAAAATGTGGAAAATTAACGACTCACGAGCCCTTTAAAGAGAAGGTACTCGCTAAGTAAACTGTCCGGCGGCCGGCGGCGTGGTGGTGGGGGAAGTGCGCGCTGTAAATTTTGCAATATCTCGGCTTCTATTCATCGTAGAAACTTTTTTTTTTTTTAAACTGGGGTAGCTCGACGAAAAAATAACAATGGGCATATTTACGAATTCGTAGAATAGCCCTGAACCCCAGAAAAAATGCATCTTTTATAATTAATTTTTTTTAATTTACAAAAATGTCACAAAAATTATTGTTAAACGAAATATTAATTAAAATTTCAATTTCGGAATTATTTTACTATTATTAAATAAATAAATGAAGCTATCGTTCATTTAAAAAGTTATTTCTTTTACATATTAAGGCAAAGTAAACTTGTTTTTTCAATATTTTGTTAGCTATTTAATTACGATTTAAATGTAAAATTAAAGTAAAAATTCACAAATTATTTTCAAATTATTATTTATTGTTAAAAGATTTAAAAAAGAATAAAAAGCATTTGAATTTATTGCAAAATTCTCAAAATTAAAAAATATTAATAAAAATAATGCGGTCGATAAAATTACAATTTTAACTTCTTGAAATTTTAATATATAAAGTTTTTTTATTATATTTATTACTAATTTTATACAAAAAAATTTTTGGAACATAATCAAAATTAATTAAAAAAATATTAATCACAACCATTTTCAATAATAGATATAATGCAATATAATGCAATTTAAAATTTATTTTTTTTTTGATGAGAAATAATAATTTGAAAATAATTTATGAATTTTCACTTTAATTTTACATTTAAATCGTAATTAAATAACTAACAAAATATTGACTACAAAGTCGATACAATTTATTTTATTTACCTAACTGGAAAACAATTGTTTTGAAATTTACTAAATGTTTCGCAATAATAGCTGTTTACATTTTTTCCGTAGGACAAGTCTGCCGCGTGTACGCGTGGTGTGCACCAGCAGGTTAAGCGTTGTTGTCACGTTGTGATGAAACTCCCCAATATTAACACTCGCTGTATTTTGAAAACTATTGCGCCCCTGTAATATACAACTTTTTTGTTCATTTATGATTACTCTATCTCATGCTAAAGTAATGGCAGTAAATCTTCTCACACCCTGTATATGTATATTAAATATATTAATGTTATATACGAAAAATATCTAAGAATATTAGATATCAAGTAATATGACACAATAGATAACACCTTCCTCGAAACAAAGCATTCTCATGTGAAGCGCAAGGACAGCAGTAGATTCGAAGAAAGCCTGTGCTTGCGTCAGCATAACGAAACTTATAAATATGACTAAAAAACTTAGTTAGTTCAGTTCACAGTAAAATTCAGTTAATTTAAGTCTTTAACGCTGTAACTCATAATATATGGTTAAACGCTGTTTCAAGTGAAAGTTGTAATCATAATTTTAAGTGAAAAATAAAATTTTTTAAAAAGTGAAAACTGATCTGAATGATCTAAAATTAATTATTATTAGTCTTTAAGAATTTTGCGTAACAATAATAAAAAATGCTTAGTAAAGGAAAAACTCCTTCTTACCGTCAACAGCTTGTCCGAGGTACTTCATCTCGGCAATGGCATCGTACGTGATTTTATTGTCGTGTTTCCTCAACACCTCAAGTATCTCTCGGCGGAGTTTCTCCTGCAGTTCCTGTTTCCTGCTAACTTCAAAAAGGGTCATTGTCGTCGCCGTCGACGAAGTCTCGAATCCCGCCGCAAAGAACACAAACGCCTGCCCCACCAATTCGTTCATGCTTAGCTTCTCGTCCGAATTCTTTACGTCTATCAGCAGCTGCAGGAAGTCGTTCCTTCGTAGCTCGTTCTTTTCTCTGTAGCTGACAATGTCGTTGACGGTCTTCACGAAGAAATCGGACACCTCTCTCTGTATGTTCCTCACGCCGAACTTTTGGGATACGCTCGGGGCGTAGATTGCGAGGAAGAGGTTCAGTCTGTCCTTCAGACTGAATTCGGTGAGTAGTTTGCGGCCCATCTTCCTGAATTCGGCGTCGGGGTGTTTGAAGCTGTTGCATTCGATGCCGAAAGCGCAGGATCCTGGAAAAGTATACAATTATTTTTTGTAGGTTGGTACTACTGTCCTTGTATTGATATACGACAAAAAGGACTAGATTTTCGAAATCTACGTGTCCACATAGGTCTAGAAACGAAGTTTGAACGGAATCCAAAAAAAAATTAAGTTTTTTTCTTCTATTTCTATATCATAAAAGTACGCGGGGAGAAAAAAAAATTGTTTGAGATTCAAAAGGTGAACCAGGACCGAAAAAACACGCCAGTCACACAAAAATCAAGGTCATATTGACAGTTTTCTTTAATTATCGTGGCATGTTTCACTATGAATTTCTTCCAACCGGCCAAATGTTAACAGGAAATATTATTTGAATGTTATGCGTCGTTTGCATGACGCTATTTGCCGCAAAATTCCAAAATTATGGTCAGACAATTCTTGGTTTTCGCTTCCTGATAATGCACCGCCTCGCACAGCATTGACAATTGGAGACCATTTCGCTAAAAATTCAACTCATATCGTTCGGCAACCACTGTATTCGCCTGATTTAGCACCAAGTGACTTCTGGCTACTCACTGAACTCAAAAAACCATTCTGTGGATACCGGAACTGAAGGTGACGAAATTGATTTGGAAGCGTAAATAAAGATTTTTTTATTTTTTAAACAAATTCATCTTATTTTTTAGACAACGGGTTATGTTTTTTTCACCCTCCATTCTCTAATTATTTTTTTATCCAGCTAAACAGAATGTAAGCGTATTTGCCATATTTATTACTTTACTTTTAATAGCAACAAATATTAATTTTAACAATAAATAATGTTGGAGCAACATTTATATACGAGTATAATAATATAAACACTGTGTTTTTTTAATTTTGGAAACAATACGTCTCTATACAACATATTAAATCCGATACTTTGAATGAGCTCAATTCTGACTATAGCTTAATTGAAATGGCAGTACCGCATGGCTCTGTTCTGAGACCTGTGCTTTTTATTTTATATGTCAATTCAATAGAAAATGTAATACGTAACGAAGCTTTTACCATGTATGCCGACGATTTATCTTTGATTATTTCAAATAACCCAGATAAAAATCTTTTCATCGATATTAAAAAAACGATTAAAAATATATGTGCATGGTTTAATCAGAACTATTTATACAGGGTGTTTAAAAAAGAGTGTAAAATATTTAAGGAGGTAATAGTATGAACCAAAATAAGCAGAAAAGTCTCAATAAACATGGGTCCGCAAAGTAACGGTTGCGGAGATATGGAATGTTTTATGTTTTTTAGCCCCTTTTTTTTATTTTGCAAAACGTTGTGTATTTTCTTATAATAGTTGGTTGATGTTTAGTGAAATAAACAGTACGTATTTGACAGTTGTTCTCAGTGCACAAGTTTTCTTTCGCTATGGCTGGTTACTCTAACGCAGAATTAACAGACATGCATTTCATGTATGGTCGTGCTAATGGGAACGCCACCGAAGCGCGACGTCTTTATGTTGACGCTTATCCAAATCGCCAGATTCCTTCACAACGCATGTTTGGAAGAATTCACCAAAGATTGCGTGATACCGGTTCCTTGAGCAAACAGTGCCATTTATCCGGAAGACCAAGGTCGGTATCCACTCCTAGAGCAGAAGAAGAAATTCTAGCACTGGTAGAGCAGAATCCAGGTACGAGTGTGCGGAGAATATCAGCCGAGGTAGGAATTAGTGGTCCTCTTGTTTGGAGAATCCTTCACGAGCAACTGCTTTATCCATACCATGTGCAACGAGTACAGGCCTTAAATCCAATAAATGATCATCAAGCACGTTTGGTTTTTTGCCGCTGGTTTCTACGTCATGATGCTGAAGACCCTCGTTTTCTTGCAAACATTCTTTTTACTGATGAGGCCGGGTTCACAAGAAATGGAGTGTTTAATTTTCACAATACGCATATTTGGGCCGACGAAAATCCTCATGCTCTAATAGAATCTGGACATCAGGCACGTTTTTCATTAAACATTTGGATGGGTATTGTAGGTGACAGGTTTCTAGGTCCTGTTGTTTTACCAAACCGATTAACAGGCGCTGCTTACCTCAACTTTCTGCAGAACACACTGTATGAGTTTTTGGAAGACATTCCTTTGAATCAGAGGCAACAAATGTGGTTCCAGCATGATGGTGCTCCAGCTCATTTTTCCATGGCCGTTAGAGAGCATTTACACCAAACTTTTCCACATAGATGGGTAGGAAGGGCCGGACCTGTTTTATGGCCTCCAAGATCGCCTGATCTGAACCCTCTAGATTTCTTTGTTTGGGGATATTTGAAGACATTAGTGTATGGTACTCCTGTAAATAGCCTGGAAGAGCTGCAGCTACGGATTAATCAAAAGTGTCAAGAAATCCAAACCAAGGAGGGTGTTTTCGAAAGAGTTCGAATATCGTTGAGACGAAGATGTCGTGCCTGCTTGGAAATGGACGGAGGGCACTTTGAACATCTTCTGTAACTTTGTTTTTTGTTTGTTAAAAGCTTCCTTTGTCGGTTTATTCCTAATAAAATAAAATGTTTGAAAAACGAATAGTGGTCCATATCTCCGCAACCGTTACTTTGCGGACCCATGTTTATTGAGACTTTTCTGCTTATTTTGGTTCATACTATTACCTCCTTAAATATTTTACACTCTTTTTTTAACACTCTGTATTTAAATGTAAATAAAACGCAAATTATAAGATTTCATCACAGTCAGAGAAAATGTGGCGACCTAACAATAAAAATTAATTACTGTATCATTGAGAGTGACGCTTTAGGCAGTGTTAAATTTCTGGGAATTTATTTCGACGAAACCCTTAATTGGAAAGTGCATTGCAATCTTCTCGTTTCCACCTCGAGTTCAGTAAATTTTTTATTTAAAAACATGAAAACAATTTTGGTCAAAAATCAATTAATTAATATATATTACGCTCAAGTAGAATAGCGTCTTCGTTATGGTGTCTGTTTCTGGGGTGATTCCGCCCTCTCACATTCTGTTTTCATTTTACAGAAGCGTATTTTGCGCAATATTGCTGGTGTTCCCAGTGAATATATCTGTAGAGATATTTTTAAACAGTACAAAATTTTAAATTTTAGTTCGTTATTTATATTTGATATGTGTATTTATGTTTTTAAAAATAGGCAAAAATTGTCAATGACCAATTACCAGTCACCAAATTATTTGGGGCCTAAAATTTTTAATAAATTACCTGTAGAATTAAGACAAGCTAATGTATCTTTTTATCAATTTAAAGTAAAGTTAAAATTATATTTAGTGACCAAATTTTTTGCTACCTACGTTAAGTTACATTTGTTTTTACTTTAAATATCGGCTGTACGCACAACTGACTATTGTTACAAAATTTGTAATTGTCTCAAAACAAAATAAAACATCTACCTATCTATCTGTCTAAACAGAAATTGTATAAAAACAATTTTTTAGGACGACTAAAGGTAAAACTGAAAATTTTCGGATATTTCTTACCGATGCTATCCGTAGTGTAGCAGGCTGCCACCTCTTGCATGTCAACGTCGGCGTCGGTCTTTTGTTCCACACATTTTTCCATGGCACCCTTCAGTCCTTCGCTGCAGTTCAGTATGGTTTGGAACATCGCCTTCATCTTCGCAGAAGTGAACACCGACGTGAACTTAGTCTTAAATTACACGATTTGAAAATGAAATAGTTATTTATGTGACAGATGTGCAAAGTAACAATATACAGAGTGTTATTTTTAAGTGGTGGTCAGTTTTTTGAGGGTAGTAATAAAAACATTATCTGTCTAAACATATTTGCAATATTTTTCAATAAATTCGTCAAGTTATTTATGAATTTCCTTTGATTGTGTAAAACTGCCTTTATAAACATGTATTTCTAAAGGTAAAAGATGGCCTCCACGTAAATATGATATCCCTAAAAAAAGTGTTAAATCTGTGCACCAGTAAAATAAAATAAATAAATTACCCTTAAATTGTGCCTTACCCGAGAGTTTCTCCATGCTGCGCCTGGTTGTGAAAAAAGATGAACGCTCAGGGGCTCTCTCTCCGTATAGTACACTCCTCTATCGGTGAAATGCTGGAAGTCCTTAATTAAAACGTCTTTAATCTGTTCCGGGCCCACCACGACCAAGTAGGGCTGGATGCCCATGAATATTCCTGGAAATTTAATTTGTTTGTGTCTCGTTATTTTGTCGGGGGTATCAAATCTTAAAAGGTGTTTAGAAGATACTTGAAAAATCAATTTTTTTGTCAACTTTGATAACTTGATAACTGCAAAATGGTGATCACCTTTCAAGAGAGATTCATCCGCTCTAGAAGCAATGCAATCATTAAAGTTGCTACAAATAAATTCAAACATTTTTATTTAAAACCTGGTAATTTTGAAGTACACTAACAAAGAAACTACAAAGTTAACAAAGAGAACTCTTCATAATATTAGAGAGATGCCTGCGTTTTGAATATCTCATACATGTTTGTTTTTACAAGAGAAGACTAATATTTTTGTACACTCACCCCCTAGCTTTTGCCCCGTGCCCTTGAATTGGTCGTAGAACTTTTTGCTGATCAACCCAATGGCGATGCCCTTGGGAATCAAGGAATCGCTGTTTCCGAAGGGGAAGCTTGGTTCAAAGCAGGGCACCTTCATCCTCTTCCAGTACCCGTAGGTGTACTTCACGAAGGCTGTGGCGGCAACCACCAGGACAATGAAAAAAATTATGATGATGGAAATGTATTGTCCTAATAGTGTCACCATCGTGCCTGGAATCGGAAACATAGCCAATATGTAGCAAAATATTGAACGGTAGAGGGGGTTAATCTATTTTTAAGTGTGTAGTCTATTGCTTAAATTTACGCAAAAGTATTGTAACGAGCGTTCAAATAAAAACGTGGTCGAAGTTGGCTGTGACACATTGGACGTAGGGAGTAGCTTATAGCGACCAACTTAACCTCATTTCTCAACGAGCTGTATAGCAGCTGTCAGTTTCAATAACGTTAATGACTATATAACTTTATTTTAAAGAATAATCGTGATAACAATAACAAACAATTAAAGGAGCTGCGGAAAGTGTCCCCCTCCTTGTTATAACAATAAATTAAAGCAGCTGCTGAAAGTGTCCCCCTCCTTGTTCCAAGCACTTTTCACACCTGTTCCTCAAAGAATTAAAGACATTTTCTAAGATGCTCGGGGTATTGTTAATTTCACGAATCTTGTCTATAAGTCGAGCCTGCAGATGGTTTAAATCAGGAATAGGCAGTTCAAAAATAGTGTTTTTAAGGTAAGGCCACAAAAAGAAATCACACGGCGTAATATCACATGACCTCGGTGGAAATTCATGTTCAGCATTGAGACTTATTAGTCGATTTTGGAAAACTTCCCTCAACATATTCATCGTCTCGCCTGCCGTATGTGCCCTTGCGCCATCTTGTTGAAAGTAAAAGTTTGTAATTTCGTTTTCTTCCAGCTGGTTAACAAAAGGAGCGATAATTTCTTCTCTATACCTTTGCGCAGTAAGAGTACCATTAAAAAAAATAGGTCCATAAATCCTCCTTCGATTGAGAGCACACCAAACTCCAATTTTTTGAGCGTGTAGAGGGCCCTCGACAAAAAAGTTATCTGGTTTTTCAGAAGACCACATTCTCATATTCTGTGAGTTTACGTAACCACTTAAATGAAACCAGGCTTCATCAGAAAAAAAGGTGATATTATGAAGTTCACCGTAGTTGTTTAAAAACCATTCACAAAATACAGCCCGTCGCGGAAAATCAACTTCATGAAGTTCTTGCTGACAAGTTAAACGATAGGAGAACAAACGCAAATCTTTTTTTAACACTGTGTGGCAGGTACCGACTGATACTCCCACCATTTGTGATAAAACACGTACAGAAGTTCTTGGCGCATTTTCCATTATTTGTTGGACATTTTCTTTTAATTCTTCAGTCCGCTTTTTAGGTCGGCCGCTTCCTTCTTTTCTTGTTACACTGCCCGTTTCACGAAAAACATTAACACAACGCTGAACTGCACTTTGAAAAATTTTGTACTCAACAACGCCGGGAAATTGATTTTGAAATTCTATGAAACATTCCTCAATAGAATACTTCCATATTCCATCAATCTTGCGTCCATTTCTAAAGTAGGACTCTATGATAAACACTTTTTGTTCTTGAGAAAACACCATTTTAAACGCTTTTTAAAACGAAAATATTCAAATTGATAGCGGCGATATAGCGCTTTGACAGATGACGTTTAAGTTCATTTGCTATACGCTACGCCCTACGTCCAAATTTTCAGAACCAACTTGACCACGTTTTTATTTGAACGCTCGTTATATACGCTAAATGTTATTAATATTAGGACTATTTAGATAAATAATTTTTATTTTGATAATTATTAATATAACTATTTGAAAAAGAGAATTTCTGGCAAATTTTAATTGAATTAATGTTAAAAATAAAATAAAAATACAAGAACTGGTAACAAAAAATGTATAATTTTAAGAAACATGCAATAAAAGATTCATTTTTTCCTTTTTGCTTAAGAAATACAAGGCAAAAAGGAAATTTTTCCCAAACATGTTTTCGATAAGTGGCGTGCAACACTTCACTTTTTTTATTTATTTCGAGACGAACAAAATGAAAATGTAACTATTGGTGTATTCAAAATATTGAGAACAAATGGAAGTCCTCCTATTTTCACGTCAATAAAAGACAAATGCAATTGGCTATTACCTGTGATGAATTGTTAAGATTACTAAGCACCAAAATATACTAACTGGATTTTCTTACAATTTCATGTAATTTCACTAACAAAGTGGGCACTCGAAGATCATTCTGTATTGTAACTGCAACAGTCAAATGAAATAAACACCGCATCATTTACCTACTTACGTACTGTTATACCACATGCCCCAAATTTTAGAAACTCTTAAAAGAAACAATATTAAATGACTTATTTTAATTATTTGTCAACTTTTGTCCTTACATTGTTTAACGACAAATTAACAACAAATCAAATTATCGATAAGCTTTTGAAAATAAACTGCCACAAACTTGTTTATTCATGTTATGCTGTACAAACAATGTTCGCTGCTGGGTAGCTTTATACAGGGTGGTTTAGACAAGCACGACGTCTTCTAATTATGGAGGTAATTGCCGATCGACACTAAATTGGAGTTAATTCTCGACACGCTTGGACTATTCGCCGTCTTAGATTTTCTAGGGCTAGGCTATCAACTGGCGCCTCGTAGACTTTTTGTTTAACAGCACCCCAAACGAAATAATCCATCGGTGTCAAGTCCGGCGAACGTGCGGGCCATAATTAGAAGATGTCGTGCTTGTCTACAGTCCGGAGGTGCCCATTTTGAACAAAATGTTTTTTAAATCATTTCATTTTTGATTCACTTTTCGCTTTGTCTAGGTATAATATTAATTGGTAATTTTTTGGTTGTTTTATTTTACAAATAAATTTTCATGTATTGTTTGCCATCTTATTTTATTTAAAAGTACACAACACAAGTAAATGAAGTGACTAGCGACTACAAACCGCCTGAAAAAATTTTGGATTATTGCAAGGGTCGTTAAGTTGTGGCATTACGACATAGTCACATTAGATGTTAGGTACTTAAATATTTATATTGTTTTCATCAACACCATTTTTTTTTTCTAAATCTATATCTGAAAAACGAAGCATCTCCTAAATAATTTTAATACTAATGGTTAAACCCAAAGGAGGGGGAGACAAAAAGGCTTATTTGACTCACACATACTCGAGACCAAGACCAATTTTAATAGGTACTATATTTTTTTAGGTTTTATGAGGAACGTCTTCCTAAAGTTTATCGACGGAATCCAGAAGCACCGTTCCGAAAAATCAATTTTGCCATGAAACTATAAGAGTTAGGAAAAAAGGGAATGTACACTTTTTTACAATAATAAACTGTTCTATCTAAAAACAACATCATTTTTTAGTTTCAGTAGGGCCGTATTAATTTTTTTTATAATTTAATGAGCCCATAACTCCGCCACTGGTTGCTTGCGGAACTTCTACTTCTATGGAAAAAGGGTATCTTATAAGAAGATGTGTCGTGCCAAATTTGGCTTAAATAGCCTTATTCATTTGGAAGTTATTTAAAAAATTCGAATTTTAAAAAAAATCTTTAATGGCCTATATTTCGAAAATGAAGCGTCTCTGGAAAAAGAATTGTACTTGATTTTTTTCTTATTTTTTTATGAGGAATATCTCCTTAAAGTTTGTCGACTTAATACTGAAACACCCTGTATAATTCTACTCGTATTAGTTTATCACTTGGGGTTTGAAACTTCTTAAATATCACGTCACTAATAAAAAGGTCTATTGACAGTGACACCAAATTTCAAAACAATCTGTTAAGCTGTTCTGGAAGGACATATTAAGAAAAAAAAACATTTTTTTATGAACTCAACACCCCGCATCTGTGTAAGGAGGCATTTTGAAACTAAAATTTATTTGACCAATTATTTAGTTTGGATGAGAAGACGTTTCGGTTTTTTTACACCTAACTATAACTCACCCAGATATACGAAAAAAGAATGTTACATTTTTCACCGAGAAAACTGTTGCATTTCCGACGACAGCTCGACAGCCCTATATTTTGTTGTCTATTTATTTGAATCAGTATTATCTGATTTACACTAGTATCATTCAAGCAATAAGACATTTGTAATTGTTATGAAAACGAATATTTGTTACAAATATTTGCATGATTATCTTAATGTTACAAACAAACAATTACTTTCCTTTCCTGATATAACTACAGATTTATGTGTATTATCTTAATGAATATGATATGATGATGATATGATATTTAAGGAATTTGTAGTTTAATTTGTTTTTTCTAGCTGATTATCAAATAATTTTAAAATTATAATAAGTTTATTTCTCGCCGATCGACATTAATAGTGGAGTCAAGATAGATTTTCACTTCGCCAAAATTACTGGAAGAGAGAACTTTTTATTTTTCGCTTTGTAAAGATGTCAGAAACAACATATAAAAAGTTACCAACTGTAGAGTGTACGCTAAATTATTTATTTAACAGATTAGTTGCAAAATTTCAGTTTTTGTAATATATATATAAAAAAAATTAACTGCGCCATTCGAAAGAACAGGATATTTTACGTAAAAAATGTTAATAAAGTTTTTTTCTAAGATGTGAATTGAAGGCTGTAGAATTTTTTTTCTGACGTACGAAAAATGAGACGGGCTGCCCCCAAGTATAGCTCTCGAAGAGCGCGCGGCCCCTAGCGCGCTACACTAAATTTATTATAACTTTTGATCTAATTGATCAAATCCACTTCACAAAAATTTAAATGAAAGAAGAGAAGAAGGCTATCAAAATTTTATGTTTTTAAACTTAAAAAAAATATATATACATCGTGTCCCACTAGTCCAATATCTATGTTAAAATGAGGAATATATGGATTTTTCTTTTTACTGTGTTGCCACATTTCTCGGAATGTACAAATTAAAAATATATTCAACTATACAGGGTGTTCCACTTTTCCTGGACATTTTTTATATTTTTTTCGGATTCTACATATAAAATAAAGGGTACTTTGTGTAGAATAATTCTATTCAAATATTCACAGTTTTTGAGATATCTCGCTTGAAAGGTTTTTCTAGTCGATATTGGTTGCTTACATTTTCTGATACTGACAGGTTATACTAATAGCTACTAAGCCCATTTTTTTATCAGATGTTTAGTAAGGATGACTCTTCCGAATCATGCTCCAAAAACTGGCCTGCGTTATACAGGGTGACCAAAATATCATGACAAAATTGCCAATTGAAAAATTGAAAAATCTCGATTTTTTTAAATGCAACGCCCTGTATATTTTCATAGCATGAGATGCCGAATTAAATTCTCTACAACTTTGCTATACCTGCTCCTATACCAAAATTCATTAGTTTTTCATGAAATCTCATTTCTATGGAAAAATGCGAAGTTTACAAATAGCTTATATGTAAAATAACGTAGCAGGCTCCTGTCAAAGGATAATCTGGAAAATTTTCGATTCACATAAGGTTTAATAGAAAAGCGACAGTAATAATTGTGAAATGAATTACTCTAAAGAAGAATTAGTAAATAAATAATAGAATAATTAGTAAAACTCATGGTAACTGTTTATTGGCAAGTCGTATTTACCAAACTAATAATCCAGATTTACAAAGATATCCTACAAAATTTTTGTTTAATAAACCATCAAAGAATTAAGTTAAGACCTTAAAAAAAGTAAATCCAGAGAAAAATATTTTTTTTTATTTACATCTAGTAATAAATGGAAAATTGTTATAACAGCAAAAAAATAACGTTTTTTGATAAATTTATTTAATCGGAGGCTCCCAAAGTTATGAACTTTAAGCCTCTGTACATACAGGCGTTAATTTTTAACCAAACATGATTCTGAAAGCGTCGTTGTAATCTCAAAGACGTAATTAAGCGACCTATTAAAAAATATCACCGTTGTTTTGACACTAACTAAAATTGTTAATGTGTTTATATGTATGTATTATTAATTAGATATTTCAAAATATTAACCTTATAAATATGGACATGAATAATATCACTACTGTGTTGTGATGGCTCAGAGTGTATCGCGTTGTACTGTCACGCGGCGGTCCTGGGTTCGATACCTGAGACAGTCTTGGCTTTTTTTTCAACTAACATTTATTTCAAATAACAACATGAAAATTAAAATCGAAACAATTTTATAAGCTTTTCAACAAGTTATAAGAAATTTTAAACACCGCACCGCTGAGGCTGTGACGACGACGATACACTGTTGCCAATTAGAATGTTCAACATTTTTAACAATTTGAATAAAATTGTTGCTATTTATGCTATCTCACCGAAAATAGATGCAATGGATAGCTGGCAAAAAATACAGTTTTTTTAAAAGAGTACCCTCTACGACCAACAGGAGCCAAGATAAGATTTTTTTTAAAAAAATCGTAGCGCAATTGTTTATAAATATTAAGACTTGAATTTTTCGCAAAATAAAGTTTACGACGTAATCTACGGTTTCCCGTGCATTGCATTAAAAAATGTGGAAAATTAACGACTCACGAGCCCTTTAAAGAGAAGGTACTCGCTAAGTAAACTGTCCGGCGTGATGATGGGGGAAGCTCGTCCAATCGAGTCGCGCGCGCGAAAAAAGTGAAATCCTATTCATCGTAGAAACTTTTTTTTTTTAAACTGGGGTAGCTCGACGAAAAAATAACAGTGGGCGTATTTACGAATTCGTAGAATAGCCCTGAACCCCAGAAAAAATTCATCTTTTATACTTAATTTTTTTTAACTTCCAAAAATGTCACAGAAATTATTGTTAAATGAAATATTAATTAAAATTTCAATTTCGGAATTATTTTACTATTATTAAATAAATAAATGAAGCAATCGTTCATTTAAAAAGTAATTTTTTTACATATTAAGCCAAAGTAAACTCATTTTTTAATTACGATTTAAATGTAAAATTGAAGTAAAAATTCACAAATTATTTTCAAATTATTATTTATTGTTAAAAAATTTATAAAAAGAATAAAAAGCATTTGATTTTGTTGCAAAATTCTCAAAATTAAAAAATATTAATAAAAATAATGCGGTCGATAAAATTACAATTTTAACTCCTTGAAATTTTAATATATAAAGTTTTTTTATTATATTAATTATAAATTAAAAAAAAAAATTGCAACATCAAAATTAATTCAAAAAATATTAATCACAACCATTTTCAATAGTAGATATAATGCAATAGAATACAACAAATTAAAATTTAAATTTTTTTCAATTTTTAATGAAAAAGTATGACAAAACCCTCAACTTGTCATAGGTTTTATAAAATTTTAACAGTAAATGCGATATTTATAAACAAATTTAAAAATGAGCCCTTTTCTAGTTTTTTTGGAATAACTTTTTTGTTTATTAACCGATTTTAATTTAACAAGTCTCATTTTGTAGATAATTTTATACCCTACGAGCTGTCCGTGAGTCACTTTTCCCTAAAATTGATGGTTTTCCCTGCAAAGTGAAAAAATTGTTTTCCTCACTTATTTGTTGAAATAGAAAAGTTAGCTAATAAAATTTTTTAACTCACGAGATGAAAGATGTCTTGTATTATGTTCCTTTAGACAATTTTACAATAACATCGCGGATAGGACTTTTTTGGAGTAAAAATTTTATTTGCATGGCCTAAATAGTCCAAACGGTAGAGCATTCGAGGCGTTTGTATTTGAAGTCATATATTTTGTTGTTATGTACAGAAAAATCCCAAATATTATGTAGAATAAGAATCCGAGTTTGCTTAGGTATTCCAAAAAACCATTGCCAAATTCAGGGGAACAACAAACATACAAAAAGAACAAAAATTGACCCGTTTTGACCGTTGAGCGATTTTTAAAATAAGTAAATATTTATAAATATTGATTAAACTTTGTGAACAAATAGTAAAACATATGTCAATTCTACCCTAAAAATTTTGCAACGATCGATCGCGTCGTCCTGTGACCACGGTACCTTTCTTGATTTTTCTTTAATTAACCTTTTATCTGTCGCAAATGCACTAAACGGATATTGAAAGTACTTGTAGTTAGCTATAAAAACATATTTTTTTCTCTCGACTTCTCGATTACGTAAGCTATAAATTATTATTAACTTTACGCTTCTATATCTCAAAATCTACACAGCAGAATGCTGTCGAATTGGGCTAGAAAGCAAGGGGTTACGACGTAGTTTTTAGGTGTGCAAGATATTGTCGATTGGATAGAAAATTCCCTGGACAATAAATAATTATTTAAAGAGAAAAATAATTTTTTTTATTTATATTTAGTAATAAATGGAAAATTGTTATAACAGCAAAAAAATAACGTTTTTTGATAAATTGATTTAATATTCATTTTTAAAACGTATATTCTGTATCTGAAATTGTGAATATAAGTTCTCTTATTGATGTAGACACAGATATGAGTTTGGGTGACGAAGCTAAGCAGTGAGCACACCAAATATTTTTTTGTTAAAGTTTTATTTATTTTAAAAGCGTTTTTCGTTTATAGGAATTAAATAATTGTTATTATAAATGGTATAAGAATATGATTTTTATGTTTGTTTTCGAGTAAGCTGCAGTTATCAGTGTGTTAAAAAGTGTATTATTCACATATTTTGTCCATTTTGAGGTTATACTCTAGTACACTTGTAATTCTTTAATGTAATATCATTACTTAATATTACAAATAATCTTCAGTTTGCACTTAAGGTATTTATATTCGTTTTCTTTTATGCTAAACCTGTAAATGTATGAGTTTAATATTTATATATGAATATTGATCCATTTTTAAAATAATTAATAAATAAGTAATAGGGGACGTTGATTTTGTAATTTTGTATTTAAAATCCAAGTTTTTTTTTCAATTTTATTGGCTTAAAGCCTTAATTGCTCAGTTATTTTTTAAGAAGAGCAAGAACTCGAGATTTAAAAATTAATTAATTTGTAATAAATTTGTTTTTTAAAAAATAAAACATATTTTCAATAAAACCTCTTTAGCCATTTATAATTATCATTTTTCGAACCTCTATATTACAAATATGAGCGAGTTTGATTTAAAATGGATAATTGTTAAATAAATTGTTTAAAATAGTCGGCCATATTGGATCAGCCATTTTGAATTTTCATTTTCCGACTTCATATTCTTGTTTAGCGACGTAGGTACTCCAGTCGGGTTAGACAAAAAAAGGGCTTAACCGGGAAAAAATTAGGGACCACAATTTTATCGTTTTAACGTTTAAGGGGGGTCAATAGTAGTGTAAATTCAGAATCGCGACTGAATTCCACCCCTGCGTCAGCCGCCATCTTGAATTTAAGGAAAAATTGTTTTTGCTCAATATCTCGTCCATTTTCAACTTTACAACAAAAATAGTATGGACTTAAGTTGTTGCAAATGCGATTTTCTACAACTTCTTTTATTACAAATTTTATCGTGCGATCGATATTTTTCAAGTTAAGGGGGAAAATAGTGACAAAGTATAATTATTGAATTATCTCGTTTGTTATTAACTTTACGACATAAATATGCATAAATAAAGTTGGAAAGAATTATATTTTCTACAATTTTGATCGTTTTGATTTATTCGCTACTACCAACATTTAAGGTCCTACGCATGCGGAGACGTCAGGCCTATGGAATGTTGATCCCTTGAGTTTAGTTAGGCTTGCCATAGGCGTAGGACCTTAAATTTTGGTAGTAGTGAAAAAATCAAAATGATCAAAATTGTAGAAAATATCATTCTTTCCAACTTTGTTCATGTATATTTATGTCGTAAAGTCAATAACAAACGAGATAATTGAATAATTATACTTTGTCACTATTTTCCCCCTTAACTCGAAAAATATCGATCGCACGATAAAATTTGTAAAGAAAGAAGTTGTAGAAAATCGCGTTTGCAACAACTTAAGTCCTAGTCATTTCTGTTGTTAAGTTGAAAATGGCCGAGATATTGAGCAAAAACCATTCCTTTGAAACCAACNTTTGTAGAAAACACTATTTCAAAAACATGGGGCCCAGTACATATACTTAACCTAACCTTACTATTATCGTATCTACCTACGATTTCAAAATACCAAAACATTTATATTATATAGGTATTACTATTTATTTTTTAACTAGTGCTGACTTTATACAATCTACCTACCGGCAAACATAGGAATCAACTCCTCTAGATTGTAGCCCCTCAATAAATCCTCCATTGTAGAAGTATGTATTGTCACTGGTAAATAATAAGTACTAATTACTATAGATATTAATTATAATTCTTTAATACAAACCTTCTAAAATTGCATATTATTAGTAGCCCACTAAACCACTAATTATCAACAGGTCTGAACCGAAATGAGCTTTTTTATAAAATGTTATGAGAACGTAACATGGCGTGACACGTGATAGATGGTGGATGATGATGGCCACGGTAACAAATATATTTCAACTATAGCAATCATTGAATCAGAAGTCGATATACGTCAAGTAATAAGAGTTTCATTTATCTTAAGAATACTACTTATACGATAAATTATTTACTGTTTGTAGTGAATATATTTTAGATATTGAATAGATAAATGTATTATTGATGGAAATAAAAGAAATATTTCAATAAGTCCCAAATAATTGTTGGACCAACGTTTAAATTTTTCATTGAGTAAGCAACAATTATCATTTATGTAATCATCATGGTTAATTGCATCAATTTTACAAATATTTAGTCTCTAATGAAAAGTATAGTTTTGACTCAAAATTGAATATTTCATTTAATGTATTATATGCTATTAAATCAACTATAATTAATATTAAATGAATCTAAAGGTTTCCAAGTATACGTTTTTCATTGAAAATACTATATAATTTTTTTCCGTGTAAATATTTATAAATATTGATTAAACTTTGTGAACAAATAGTAAAACATATGTCAATTCTACCCTAAAAATTTTGCAACGATCGATCGCGTCGTCCAGTGACCACGGTACCTTTCTTGATTTTTCTTTAATTAACCTTTTATCTGTCGCAAATGCACTAAACGGATATTGAAAGTACTTGTAGTTAGCTATAAAAACATATTTTTTTCTCTCGACTTCTCGATTACGTAAGCTATAAATTATTATTAACTTTACGCTTCTATATCTCAAAATCTACACAGCAGAATGCTGTCGAATTTGGCTAGAAAGCAAGGGGTTACGACGTAGTTTTTAGGTGTGCAGGATTTTGTCGATTGGATAGAAAATTCCCTGGGCAATAAATAATTATTTAGAGAGTAAAATTTTGAAAAATTTAAAAAAATAAAAGTGTAAAAATAGGTGTTTTTAGTACTGATCATTGTTTATTATTACAACAAGCAACAAGTATATCAAAAAAATTGTGTGCCCTTTCCAAACCTTAATTTAAACCCACGGTACGCGACAAACTTTCTGAAATTTTCTTAATTAACAATCCTGTCAATAGAAAACCACGCGATCGATCGTTGCAAAAATTGTAGGGTAGAATTGAAATAATATGATCGATATTCATAAACTTTTACTTATTTTAAAAATTTATCTAAAAATACATATGATTTTCTACTATTTTCGCCCATTGTTAATGCAAAATTCAACTTTTTTGATTCGCAGTTGTAACTTTATAGAAAATCGTGTAATAAACAAAAAATAAAGAACGACCATTTTTATTTAGGGCTTACTTTCAATGTTACAGGGAAAATATGTCGAAAAACGGGTCAATTTTCGTTCTTTTTGTATGTTTGTTGTTCCCCTGAATTTAGCAATAGTTTTTTGGAAACGGGCAAACTCGGATTCTTATTCTACATAATATCTGAAATTTTTCTGTGCAACAAAATAGATGACTTCAAACACAAACTCCTAGAATGCTCTACCGCTTGGACTACTACACATTTTCATAAAACAGCGGGCGACTCTAGCAAAATTATAGGTATAGGTATTAGGTATAGTTCAGGAAGTGAGAGTGTATAGTTCAGCTCTGGTATCTTGTCAAAGTTTCTTTTCTTTTTTGATGGTAATAATGATTTAAATACAACAAAACTTATATCATTGGATACATTGTTTAACGGCCTGTTCAAGCATAGTGTAGTTACTTGGAGATTAACTGGTTCTAGTGAGAAAATTGCATTTAAATCATACACTGCTGTTCTTTTTTTGTCTGTTTATAAGTGGAAAAAGTTAAGAGATAGCGATAACAGAACAACAACTTTTTTGTGAAGTTTATCCAGGTCCGGCTTTGTGAATTTTTATTCTGGTTATTAAAAATGAAGATATGCTCAAAATGTAATGATGACAAAGCAGAAAATATGTTTCCATGTGATAGTTGCAAAAGAATAATATGCAATGTGTGCTCTGATCTGACGGCATCTGAAATAAAATGTATGTTATTAAAAAAACGAAAATTATTGTTTCTTTGTGAAGACTGTGAAAAGGGTTTATCTCAAGTTCCTGTCCTTATACAGAAAATTAGTGATTTTCAAACTCAACTAAATACTCTAAAATTAAATAATACAGCGATGGAAACTGATATTAACTGTCAGGAAGATATTATTGTAGAAATGTTGGACAGACAAAATCGTAGGTCTAATATAATTATATATAATGTTAAGGAATCACAACAAAGAACTCGTATGGAAAGAAATAATGAAAATACTAAAGTGGTAAACGATATTCTTAGGGATGTTGATGTGAACAAGAATAATATAAAAGTATTTCGTTTGGGAAAGTACGACTCACATAAAAATCGTCCACTTAAAGTTATTTTTAGCTCTGCTGAGGATGCAATAGGTGTTCTAAAGGCTAAGAAGAATATTAAAGTTCCTGGGATTAAAATATATGGTGATCAGACGAAGGCGCAGAGAGAGTATTACATGCATATCAAGAAAAAACTAGAAGAAATGATTTCTAATGGCGATAATTCTAAAACAATAAAATACGTAAATAATAAACCAACAATTGTCACTAAAAAGGATGCAACCCATTCAAAAAACTGAATAATAATTGTAACATCCATTATAATTCTGACATTATATACGTTAACATCCAAAGTCTAGTAAATAACCGTGATCAAGTAATTAGCAGCATTGCATCCAGTAATCCGAAGATAATATTACTTAGTGAAAGTCGAACAACAAGTGATGTATTAAATGTTGAACTAAATATTGCAAATTATAAAGTTATACGATGTGATTCTTCGAGCAGGCATACCGGTGGAGTTGTGATCTATGTGAAAAACAATTTACAAACTACAGTTTTCAAGACAATTGTGCTTGATGGTAACTATTGGTGTAAAATTATAAGAGTTGTATTCCCCTTTTCAAAGTGGTTGATTGGATGTTTGTATCATTCTCCTTCTGCTTCGCATGCTACATTCATTGAGGATTTGGAAAATGTATTTGACAGTATGTTTTACAGTGGGACTAATAGTTTACTGATTGGTGATTTTAATTTAGACTTATTAGATAATAGTTTTTATAGCAGTAAGATTGGTAACCTTTTTAGTACATATGGTATATCCCAATTAGTCACTGAATCTACACGTGTTACTAATATTAGTTCTTCTTTGATTGATTATGTACTCACTAAACAAAGTCACGTCAAAGCAACAGTTCATTATTACCCTAAAATTACTGACCATTTTATAATATCTGTAGATATCAACCACACTGTGAATGAAAAACTTAATNGTTAATATTATGGCAAAAGGTCGAATAATTCGGAAGTTGGAAGCAGCTTATTTGATTCTTAATAAGGTAGAGAAATTTTTAAATAGAAAGATTTCATAAGAGAAAATATTGTATAATTGAATGATGCATTGTTTCTTTATATATCTTACAGCAGCATCAACAGCAAGAGCATCCGCTACACCAACAACAACAGGTGCAGCAGCTACAACAAGAGCAACAGTTACAACAACAACAACAGGTGCAGCAGCTACAACAAGAGCAACAGTTACAACAACAACAACAAGAGCAGCAAGTAAATCAAGAGCAATTAAGTTACGATGAGATTATACTAGAAAGTGAGCATCCTGTCCTGTATAATCTAATAAAAGAAATGTTCTGTTGACGTGTGATGAGGTCTCGACAAAGCAACGATGAATATGTTTACATAATATTGACAATAGTAACAAAGTATACTTTATTTATTTGTACATATTCTTGTAATTTATATTACGTGCATAAATAATTAAATTGGTATCTTTCATATAATTCTTGCTGGTGACATTGTTATCATTACTGAATTGAATAAATCATTTTCAATTAGTTGCTGTTTCTTTCCTGTTAGTAAAAAAACTGATTGAAATTCAGATATCATATAAAATTTAAAGAGAGGATACGTGTAGTAATTGACACTGATCGATCTGTATTGGTAATTGACTACTTTTACTAAATATTTAAACATGGAAATCAATTGCTTCATGAACAAAATGAAATTTTAAGTAGACTGACATGTATTACTTATTTTTAAGTTGTTTTATTTGTAATATATATTTACTTTGTTACTTGTTTGCTATGAATATTTATTTTATTTTAATTAGACACAAATAATTTTGATTTTTTGATTCAATTAATAAAACATTGAAATCTTTGGTAGATAAACATTTTATTTTTACAAAATTTTGAGAGACATAGCATTCTAACCTTCAAAAGAAACAGTTCCAGATCTCTTCTGAAGAAGAGAGCAATATGACTCTCGAAGCATTGAGAAGCCAAAACCGACAACATGGCAATCAGCTTATTCTCAAATATTTTGCAACGTTCTTTAAAATTTGTATCAGGAGAGCAGAAAGCCAAGGAGGTATTTTTTTTATGAATCTCTATTTTGAATATTTTTTCTACAATTCTGACAATTCATATCAGGAGAGCAGAAGGTTGAGAAGGTCTTTACAGAAAAATTGCTAGATACTTTCGAATTTAATTTTCAAATATTCTGCGTTTTTGTATCAGGAAAGCAGAAAGGTATTTACAGAAATCATTTTTGATACTTTCAAATTCCATTTCTTAAAATCGTTTATTTGAAATTTTTAATATTTTTATCAGTATCAGGAAAGAAGAAAATCGAGGAAGTATTTACACAGATATTTCATTACCACAGTAGACTTTTTGGTCGATCATTTTTTAAAGTGAAGGAAACACAAACTATTTTTTATCCTTATCTATTAAAATAGTAAAAATCTTAAGTACAAAAATGACTGTTAAAACTAAGTTGCTTACTACAAGATGTACAAAAAAATTTCACAGCATTATTCGGACCGTAAGAACTAGACGCTTAACCTAACTATTTGGTAGACATCGATATGTACAGAGTGACTATTTATGTACAGCCAGTTTAAATAAAAAGGAAAACAATTTAAACGTAAAACAAAAGTAATAAATAGTAATAAGTTATAAAAATATAATTTTTAACGAAACGAAAACATAAATTAGATCCGTTCTCTTTTCGAGAGGGGACCGCTTCCATACAATTTTGCCTAAAACGGAATGTTTGTTCTCGGAAAATATTAGCAAGTGTAAAATAAGAATAACGTTATCGCCAGAATTAATTTAGAAGTCAGTTTTACCGCCACGGAAGAAGAAAAGAAAGGCATTTTCGTTCTCGAACTGCACTGGATGCTGCCTTTGTTTTTGTATTCCTCGAAATTCGGCAGCCTCTCGATGTTCTCTTTCTGCAAAAAAAGCAAGAAATTCATTCGAGTGAACTCAATATTCGAGGTAAAATACACAATTTATAAATTTTTTTCATGTTTCACTTACGATGGCAAGACTGTCGTCCCTCTTTCTGCAAAAGGTAAGATGCAGCCCCTTGTAAAAATACTCCTCCATCTTCTTCGTGAAGATGGTCTCGTTGTAAGGAATATTCTGCAGGTGATCGGAAAACGACAGATTCCTAAATTCCAGCGGCTCTTTGATCACCAACTTGTCGAACATGTTTTGCGTCTGACCGTTCTCCCCCACGATGCTGTACTCTTTGGCATTCCTCAAGGCTATTATGGCCCTCATGTTGGCTTCGGGGGACATCTCGTCGCCTGGGCGGTTCTCGAAAGGCTTGGGCGTTGTCGTGGTCTCGGTTTCACTTTCCGTCCTTAAATCATACGAATATATTAGGGTGGCCCAAAAAAAAAAAAAAATTGTTTTTTCGTGTCTCTTGTGAAAATATGTTAGTTTATCGTGTTTTTAGAGCCCCCTCAAAAATTCAGATCAAAAAAAATTTTTTTAAAGGTCACTCAAGATTTTTAAAAATTTCCAAAATCGTTAAAAATTGATTTTTAAAAAATTTTTTTCCGGTCTGAAACACTTATTTTCCAAATAAAAATTCTACTTAAAAAAATTATTGTACAGAGTTCTTCCGATGCTCATTATTTTCATTTTCCAATATATTTTTGGTAAAATAAAAAAATGTATAATCACGATTCAAAAACATTCTCAAACATACAAAAAAACAAAAAGTGACTTGCAACAATGAATTTTTTTGAGTAATTGTTGATAGTTTGTTCAATTTTTTTTTAAATTGTATGGAAAAAATACAAAAGAAACTGTCATTGTTTGACCGGAAACTATTTTTGTAGAGTATTGCAACATCGAATAATTTTGTGAAGAATCGTTTAGAATCTTTTTTTGTTTTTTTAGAAAAAAACGCAAAAAATTTCGAAAATCAGTCCAAAATTCAATTAAAAATATGAATTTTTCCCAGTTATGGATCAGCTGTTGATTCTTTGACATACCATAACTTTAGGGAAAATTAATATTTTTACGTGAAAGGACAATCTTATTGTGCTCCTGTAAATGAATTGATAATAAAAAAAAAGTTCTTCTTTTACTTTAAACTTTCATGATTTTCGAAACTTTTTGCATTTTTTTCTAAAACGAAAGAAATTTATGAACGATTTTTCAATTTAACTGACTTCTACCTACAGATTAGCAGTATGGGTAATCCTGCTTGGGACACAAAATTATTCGACTTAGCAATACTGGACAAAAATAAAGTTTCCGGTCAAACAATGACAGTTTCTTTTGTATTTTTTTACATACAATTTAAAAAAAAATTAAACAAACTATCAACAATAACTCAAAAATTCATTGTTGCAAGTCACTTTTTGTTTTTTTTGCATGTTTCAGCATGTAAATACAAAAGTTTCAGGATTTCTCCTTGGCTATCCGATGGTGATCTTGACATTGACCTTGGCCTTGACCTTGAAGATCATTTCAAGCTCAAATGTGATTTTCTATACTTTTGACCTCAGAAATGAAACGAGCGGAAAATTTTACGTTATATGACCTTCAGTCATTTTGACCTTGGGGCCCCCACAAGGTCAAACTAACAAAAGTATAGCAACGGCAGAATGACTCGGCGGGAGAGCATTTTAGAGAAAAATGTTGAATACAACTCAAACTGCGCAGACTCCTGAAACTTGTATATAACATTTTTCTCTAAAATGCTCTCCCGCCGAGTTATTCTGCCGTTCCTATACTTTTGCTATACCCTGTATTTCTTTTCGTACAATTGAATAGTGTAATCAGTTTTTCAATTTTTTAAAAAATTTAAACAAATTATGAACAATTACTGAAAAATTAATTGTTGCGTAAATTCTTTGTTCTTTTTTTTTTGCATTTTTGAGCATGTTTTTAATTGTGAATATAAAATTTTTTTATTTTACCAAAAAGCATGTCAAAACGAAAATAATGATCACCGGCAGAACTCTGTACGATGACTTTTCCAAGTAGAACATTTGTTTGAAAAAAAAGTATTTCGGACCAGAAAAAAATGAATATCTTAAAAAGTTCTTGATTTTTTTATCCAAAAAAATTTGTGGTTATTTAAGACTTAAAAAGGTATACTTTCACCAAGTTTTGTCAACATTACACTATTTTTGTGGAAATGAAAAATAAAAAACGATCCTTCGCATTTTTCTCGGAAATTTTGAGGTTATGTTTAAGAGGTTACACCACTGTAACGGCCTAAAAAAAACGTATTTTTAACAAAATTTTTTTTATAAAACTGTAAATATGTTATTAGGCATGTATTAAGTGTACAGTTTCTTTAAAAAAATATTTCAAAATGGCGGCACTGGAGCCATTCTTCTGAAGCATGTTGCTACCTAGGCGAGTTTTTGAAAATTCTACAGTGGTATAACACCTTAAATGTGACCTACAAAAGTTGTACATTTTTGCATGATAAGGTAAAAAAANTTTTCATGATTTATATAATTCAAAGTAGCTTACATTATTTATTTTAAAATTTTTAACACATTACAAAAATGACATGATTGATTTATAATTCAAACTGCCGCTTTTTATCTCCCCTCTCTACATATGGGACATATGGAACACTAGTGCCCTCTTATTTTTGTTTGATTTTTGTTTACATGGAGTTCGGGCTCCTTGTATAGTCTCCATGCTACTCCCTATGTCCAATGTGTCAGAGCCAACTTCGACCACGTTTTTATTTGAACGCTCGTTATAATTCTATTAAATAAACTATTTCATGTATATGCTAACTAAATATTAAGTGAGCTACACATTACGTTCACTTGGCTGGATCGTAGTGTACTAAGCTATATTGGTAAATGATTAAAACGCTTAAAATGCTTTTTTGTTTTCAAAAATTTCTGTTTTAAAAAATAATAATGTTTTGCAAACTACTGTTAAGGCTAACATATATTCTTCTCGTCCATTGAAAATTTCATGGAACCATAATCGCATATTAATATTTAAATTTTGCTCTTCCAATTACGGTGACAGCCCAGTTGCTAGAGATTTTGAGATGGCAAAGTGCACAATTTTTTGCATATGACTAGTATTTTGCTACTAGATGACGGAAAAAAAACTGTGCACAGGAGCGAACTGGAAAATTCGGGAAATGGCCGGACAACCGCAACAAAAGTGGTCCATGAATAACTTGAAAAGTTTCTTGAGAGTTTCGCAAACGTGCAATTTTTTCGTACAGTGCCGTTATTTAGGGCATATCTCTGAATTTATAGAAAATAACGACGATTTTTACGCAAATCAGTCAGAGAAACTCATATTTCAAAGCGATGCTAAATGTGCCACTACTATTTCTTGATGAAAATGCACGAAACAAAGTTTGTTCGAAAGGGGGAGCTGCAAACTTTCAAACTTCAAACTTTTTGATTCGATATTTTTAAAAGTTTGAGAAACACGAAAAAAAGGAGTTTGTGAAACCCCTAATTATTTTCAAGTCAATCACGAAAAAAGATTCTTTGCAGTTTTCCTGTCATTTTCCAAATTTTCTCGATCCGCTCCCGTGCAGAACAATTGCTAACAAAAAACTAGCTACATGTAAAAAATTGTGTACTTCGGAATTAATGACACCTTCAAATACAATTTTGACTAGAGCGATTCGACTACAATGAGTTATGAACCGTTGTCAATCAGCAGATTGTCACAATGTGTGAAACAGGAAAAGTGTGTAGGTACCTTTCAATTCATAAATACACATTAGGCGATTTCTACAAATGCTAGTCCAAACATCACTTGGCCTCTGTTTGCGTAAAGTTTTTCATACATATTCACACTCGTCACTTTCAAATGCCTCACTATTAATTTTGCACTTCAGTGAGCAGTAAATTACACCTGTGAACTTTTTTGTGCACCATTTGAGGTCTTAAAGAATCCTTGTGATTGGTTGCTAGCAAAGCGTACTGGTACATTTGCAAGAAGGCTCTCTGCGCCAGACGATGCGATATCTGATATTGCTTCTGCATCTAGTTTCAAAATTGCACATTACACTTGTACATTTAGATGTTTCAATTGATGCTGTTTGATATAACTTTGATACTTAGTTGTAAAGTCGCAACTGTTACACCTGTACATTTGAACCTGGGAAGGATCTTTATGTTTCAGTTGGTGCTGTTTGAGATAATTCTTGTATTTGGTTTCATAGGAGCAATATGTACACTTGTATATTTGAACTTGTGAAGGATCTTTATGTTTCAACTGATGCCGCTTAAGACGAGCCCTATATTTAGTTTCATAGAAGCAGTCGTTACACCTGTATATTTCAACTTGTGAAGAATCTTTATGTTTCAATTGATGCTGCTCAATACGACACCTGTATTTAGTTTCATAATCGCAGTCGTTACACTTATACATTTGTACCTGCGAAGGATCTTTATGCTTACGTTGATGCTGGCTGATATGATTCTTGTATTTAGTTTCGTAATCACAGTCGTTACAATTGTACATTTGAACCTCTGAAGGATCTTTATGTTTCAGTCGATGTTTTCTGATGTAACCGCTGTATTTAGTTTCATAATCACAGTCGTTACACTTGTAAATTTGTTCTTTATGTTTCAGTTGGTGCTGTCTTATACTCTCCCTGTACTTAGTTTCATAACTGCAGTCGTTGCATCTGTACATTTGTACCTGCGAAGGATTTTTATGCTTCAGTTGGTGCTTTTTCATGTTATTCTTATATTTAGATTCATAAACGCATTCGTTACACCTGTAAATTTGAACCTGGGAAGGATCTTTATGTTTCAGTTGGTGCTGTTTGATATAATTCTTGTATTTAGTTTCGTAGGAGCAGTCGTTACACCTATATATTTGAACTTGTGAAGTGTCTTTATGTTTCAGTTGGTGCTGTTTTATAACATTCTTGTATTTAGTTTCATAATGGCAGTCGTTACACTTATACATTTCTACCTGCGAAGGATCCTTATGCCTCAGTTGATGCTGGTTGATATGACTCTTGTATTTAGTTTCATAATCACAGTAGTTACACTTGTACATTTGAACCTGTGAAGAAGCTTTATTCCGCAACAAATGCCTCTGATGTAATTTCTTATTTTCAGTTCTATACTCACATGACTCACATTTATACACTTCCGGGACCCCACTTCCAGTTTCATAAATACATTTATCACATTTGTACAATACTTTGTGTTCCTGTTTGGTTTTCATTTCTGATCCATTCTCAAGTTTACATCCGTCTTCTTCATCTTTACAATAACTCTCCTTGAATAGTACCATATCAGAGCTTTGCACTGACGTGTTGCTGAAAAAAATTGCATATACAGAGTATTTTTAAAACTCAATTTTAATTTTAACACACGTCAAAATATTGCGTTTCACAAAAAATTACTCTAATGAACGAGCACATTTACATTTGACATTGAGACGTATGCGGCCAGCTGTGTAATTATTAATTATACATTTGTACCATCGTACCGAAACAACTCAGTGCTTACTGACATTTCTATCCTCGTCACTCTTAGACTTGATGGAATTACATGTTATTAGAAAGAATAGTAACATTTTCACAAAGAAATATTCTATTATAACTTTGCTAAATCCACAAGGCAATATTTCATTTTTATTACAGTGAAATAATTTTCATGCTGTTCAAATAGTGTAATAAAAAAGTATAAAGTTGGAATAAGACAAGAAATTTAGTTTTTAGCTATTAATAAGAAATTCAAATCAAACAGTTGTGACATTTTGGTAATGGAAGTCTGTAGCTGGCAGCGGCCAGCCGATCTTCATACATTTTTTTTTCTGAAATACTCGTAAAGACTTGTACTTTCATGCTCAAGTGCTATAAATTCGATTTGGGTCATATCGATTGAGTTTTGAGAGGTTATGTTGCCAAATTTCATTTTTTTTTTGTATTTTCAGAGAATAAAACGTTGAATATTAAGGGTGAGAGAGCAGTAGGGGTAATTTTTTGAGGGGAAGATATACCTACTGAAGAGATGGTATACGTTTGATTTGGGTCATATTGATTGAGTTTTAAGAGGTTAAATATTAAGGGTAGGATAGTAGTAAAAGTCATGTAATGGGGAAGAAAGTGTACTTAATAAAGTTCTGAGATGTCATTTTGATTTGGGTCATATCGACTGATTTCTAAGAGGTTCTTTCACCCTTAATATTCAACGTTTTATTCTCTGAAAATACAAAAGAAATTGAAATTTGGCAACCTAACTTCTCAAAACTCAAACGATATGACCCAAATCAAATTTATAGCACTTGAGCATGAAAGTACAAGTCTTTACGAGAATTTAAGAAAAAAATTTATGAAGATCGGCTGAAATCTGGCCATCTTCTGGAATTTAAAAAAAAAAAACTCAAAAATCCCAGTGTACGACATAACAATCGGAAAAAACTATTAGATGTACTATTATTTCTGGTGGACTTTTGAATCGTCATTCCCCTCATACCCTTTTGTCAGAAGCTAGAAATAATGAAAATTCAAATATTAAGTAAAACCACAAGGATAATCATCAAATTAAGCAAAAAAGTACATCCACTTATGTATTCCCACGTATTTTTTCCTGCTGAATTTGAATCCGGGATCAGAATTGACCCATCACCCCAGAATTTTTCGTGAAAGCTGAAAAATCACTTGAAAACCGTCCAAAATAGTGTTTACATCCTTCTAGGTCGAAAAATAAAAAAGTTACGGATTGTTTGCTAGTTTTAAAAATTGTGGGTAGGTCATGTGACTGAAAATATGTCCCCTCCTATCTTTTAACCGTTGAAAATATCGAAAAACTAACTCTGGCGTCCCTCTAGCATTTCGTCCGAAGATTCCAGCAAACCAAACGACATCCTTCTAGGTCGAGAAATAAAAGAGTTACTGTTATGGGCTGTTCGCTACTTTTAAAAATTTTCTTTATATCGTTTTAACCGTTGAAAATATCGAAAAACTAACTATGGCGTCCCTCTGGCATTTTTTTATTTTCATCCTAGGTCTGTTTGGTTTTCACGTGACTTTATGGCTCCGACAAAAAATCTTAGGGCGATGGTCCAATTTTGACCTCGGATTGAGATTCAACGGGAAAAATACATGAGAACACATAGGTGGGTATTCACTTTTTCTTTGTGCTAGTGTAATTGAATCAATGATAGTACTGATAACATAATTTTAATTTTAATGATGAATCGATTCAGATCTTTGATAATGAATTTAATTATAAAAAAGGCATTAGTGAGATGCTAAGTATAAAGTCACACAATAACTCCATAAACAAGGAGTCATACAGATATTTTAAGTAGATTCTTGACTTATTAAATTTTAATCTAACAAAAACACTGTCAGTGTTTCGGCATTTTTTTGTTTAACGTTTTTTAGTTTTTGTTTTTTTTTTACCTTATCACAAATTTTAATAAAGCTTGTCACAAAAATGAAAGGATAAAAAAGAAAATCCTAAAATTTTAGCTGATTTTCAAAATGCTGTAACTCGGTGGAAAATGGTTGTAGGGTAATAAAAAAAAGCTAATTGAAACTTGAAGATCTTTTAGTTTGATTCACCCTCTTCGACTTTTTGAGCTTACGAGATGATTTTTCACTGAGTCATCATTGCCCTTAAAGCAAAAATTACCTTTCTGGCTTTAATAATTAATTATTTGGGAACTACACAGAAAACCAAAGCAGAGTTTTGAAAATTTTAAAAGATTCTCCACAAGACGTTCTTATCGTTATAAAAAAAAAATTACGATACAAGAAACTCGACAAAAAAAGGTAAAAAATCGTGTTAACAAAGGATTTTTGATAAATTTGAGATTGATACTAAGAATTTTTTCGTTTTTTATTTAATCTTGAAGTTTCCCAAAGAAACCCTTAAGAATTCAAATCGCTGCGATTTTTCTTTCATGATTAAAATTGCCACTTTTCCTAAAAATCAAAAATTGTTTGGTTTTTTTTAACAATAGGGACATTTGGCATTCCTACACAATTGTTAAATAAAACTGTAAAATTTAATCACAAAAAGTTGTATACTTTGTTGTGTCAAGTTGTGTCAATGACATAAATAACTGCTTAGTTAATTATTACTATTACTTTCTTTTCACTGCTTTCTCTGATGTATACTCCTTTTCTATTGGCAGTTCTTGATATTTTTCTTTTTTTTCTGAGTATTCTTTTATTATACACGGTGTAAATAAACTATTGCAAAAAAAATCAGGGGATTCTCTGTTCAAAAATAAGGATTAAAAAAAAATTTCATTTCAACAGCCCCTGTGAACCGCTTCAAGAGGGTGTCAACATAGTTTTAAATTTTTTTCTGAAATACCAAAAATGTGACAGAAATGAATTTAAGTAGGGATTTTCTCTATTGAGAAAACACTCTGTGAACAATTTGTTGATTTTTCCCTATGATGTAACGGGTAGAAGAATCCACCCCAAAGACTTGCTTCATAGGCAACTTTTTTTTGTTGTTAGTTTATTACCATTTAATATTCATTTCAGATAGCCAATTACAAAATGTCAACGTGACAGCGGCCTACTAGATTAATTACAGTTCGATAAAATTCCTACCTCATGCCAATCATGTCATGTAATTGATTTATATTATTTATATTATACAGGGTGGTTCCGAGATAATGGGCCAAAATTCATGGGTAAATTCCCGAAGCAAAAATTTTGCGATTTACCCGAACTTACCTTAGTCCAAAAGTTAATACTTAAAGATATACAGGGTGTTAAATGTAAAATATTATTTTAGTTTTT